CCTCCCTCCCTCCTCCTCCTCCTCCTCCTCCTCTTCCTCCTCCTCCTCCTCTTCCCTCCTTCTCCTCCTCCCCTTCCTCCTCCTCCTCCTCCGAGGCTCCCATGCGAATACATGTAGCGCCCGACACTGCGCTACTCGCCCCCCGTCGTCGCCCCCCGCTCCTCGGGCGGCAGCGGCGGCGCGACGGCCGGGCCCCCGGACACCGTGCGCGGCCCAGGGCCGAGGGCGGCCTCCAGGCGGCGGGCCGCCTCCTGGCGTTGGGGAGGAGGCGTCGGGCTCGGGCCTGGGGGCGGGGGGGGAAAGAAGAGAAGAGAGAAGGGGGGGACGACACAGGAGGAGGAGGAGGAGGAAGAGGAGGAGGAGGAGGAGGAGGAGGAGGAGGAGGAGGACCCTTACCTTTACCGATGATACGTGGTGACTGGCAGCAGGGCTAGGCACGCGCAGCAAAGTTACAGATCAGGGAACCTCCCTCCAGATTTCGGAGGCTTCCCTTTGTTCAGGTTCCCGAGGGCTTCCCCAGGTTTGGTGGGTGGGCCGCAAGGGTCCTTCAAACCTTAAGGGGAAAGAACACAATGCCGACCACAAACTTGACAATACACAACTCCCCGAAGAGAGGCAAGCTGGTGAGAAGGGTGGCACAGCTCAGCAACAGGATGATCGAGACCCCCACCCACTCCGCCCTCAGGTGCCTGCCGCGGGGGAAGGGCACTAATTCGCTGCAGAACTTCAGAGCGAGACTTACAGACAGTAGGCACCAGAATTCGTACAGAGGGCCTCGCTTGCTGAAAGAACGGCACAGAGGGAGCACTTCAACGTCGTAGACTTTACGACACAGCTGTGGCCCGAGTCCCGCAGCCTACAGAGCCTCTCGTCAAGGCTGCGCACAGCACTCTTCGCACGACAGCATTGCGGGCGATTTGGGGACTCACGGTCCGAGGAAAACAGCACCTCCCTCTGCACAGCAAGGAGGCGTTCAAGAACCTTGGAAGCCCGCTGATCAGCCTGGAGGAAGAGCAGGAGGAGGAGGAGCAGGAGCAGGAGGATGAGGAGGAGAAGGAGGAGGACGAGGAGGAGCAAGAGCAGGAGCAGGAGCAGGAGCAGGAGGCGGAAGCCCGCGCACGACCGACCCGCTAACCACCTGCGACCCACCCGCGACCCGCCCGCGACCCACCCCGCGCCCGCCACCTCACTCTTATCCTCAACTGCGGAGTGCTACACGGGAGAGATTTTCTCTCCTCGATGCTCGAAATCAAACCGCACTGCATCGTCGCTGCATCGACGACGTCGGGCGGCGCATCGGCGACGTCGGGGTGGAGAAAATCGGTCTCCAAATCGAGCCGCATCGCCGATTCTTCGGTGATGCGGCGCGATCCTCCGACCCTCTCTACTCTGAATCGACTCGGACCCCATCTCGGAGGTCTGGAGGCATTGAACCGACTGGCTCGCCCGACCCCCAGGCCCAGGCGCAAGAGCTCCTAACGCAAAACGTGGACAACATCCTGCCGCACTTCTTGCGCTTCCTAGGAATCCCTAGGAATACGTAGGAATGCACGATTTCACTACCCGACCTCCTACCAGTCGACTCGCCTCCTCGCCTTTGCTGCTATTAGGGCGCGTTGCTCGGGTACTGCCTTTTCTTCCTTGGCACTCGATGTCGACCCGACACGCTCGCCCAACCTCCGATCCTTCAGGCCAAGGTGCGAGACGTCCTCAGAAGCCTCCCAGATGGAATCCCAGCAGATGGGGCCAGAGTAGACGGGATCGAAGTGTATGTTTATCTGCCTTTCTTCCTGGATAATTGGGCATCGACCCAGCCCCTTCGCCCGACCCCCGCACCTCCAGGTCCAGGCGCGAGACGCCCTCAGAGGCCTCCCAGGTGGAATCGCAGCAGATGGGGCCAGAGCAGCTGAGGTCGAAGTGTGTGTGTGTGTGTGCCCTTCCTCGATAGGGGACGTCGACCCGGCCCCTCCGCCCGCACCCCCGCTCCTCCAGGTCCAGGCGCGAGACGTCCTCCACCCCTGCCTCGAACAGCCCCAGCGCCGCGCCGGCCAGCTCCAGCGGCGCCCCGGGCGTGCCCAACGCCCGCACCGTGGCCGCCAGCGCGCTGCGCCCCGGCCGCAGCCCGCGCGCCGCCCGCCGCTGCAGCAGGCCGAGGCTCTCCTGCCAGGCGCCGGCGCGGCTCAGCGCGCGCAGGACGGCGTCGTAGGCGATCGCGCTCGGCTGCGGGCCGCGCTCCTCCCCAGAGACTCGGACGCTCCAACAGAGAAGTGGGAGCGGCGGGGTTTGGGCGGCCTTCGGCCGCCGGGGGGCCCTCGCTGGGCCTCCCAGAGCGTCAGGCGCCAGCGCCTCGGGGAGAAACGCCGGCCCTTTCGGGAAGTGGTCTCTGGACCTCCAGGGCCCACGGCCCACGCACCGAACAAAAGGGAGCCACCAGATGTCTGGGTCTGTACTGGAACGGTGGTTATGCCCTGTGCTATGTTTGGACTCCCTTCAGGCCCCGCTCCAACGCGACACAGTGCAGGCCAATCCACCAGAAACCCTGAGACCCCAGGGCGTCCTGTGATTTTCGGCATGGAAGCGTCACGCCCTCCATGGCAAAACCACCGAAACGCAGGAAACCCAGGGCACCCTGGAGGCAAGCGAGGTGCTTCTTGGCATGGGCCCCCACTGTATGCGCGACGAAAACCAACGGGTCTCACGCGAGACGGCACCGCGACCTTGCGCGGGGGGGCCTGCGCGGACCGCCCTGCGCGGCACGCCACCTTGGAGGCGAGGGCACTTCTACGCGCGACCTGACGCGGGCAGCCTACGCGCCAATGCCGGCGCAGACGACCCCGTTTCTGTTTGCGCCCCTCACGTGGTACAGTCGACCCGTATGGTAAGGATGTGCGGCAAGTACGAAAGGGTCTTGGAAGGCCACGACAACGCTCTGCGAGCGGGGCGCGGCCAGCGGAGGCGGCCAAGAATGGGCCGAAGGGAGGAGTGATGCAAGGGCACCCTTGGAAAAGTCGCTCATCCTTACTATGCGGGTCGACTGTACGTAACGCTTCGGCTCCAAGGGCCGCAGAGCTGTGCACCGCACCCAACCGCCGCTCGGTGCAGACGAGTCGGCCCCGCTCCTCTGGGAGCACCGCGCCCTGCGGTGCGAGGACCGCGCGAAGTTGTCTTCGCGCGCTCGCGCCCCCGCGGCGCCCCAGCTGGGGAAGCTTGCAGGAACTGATGCCGCTACTCCCCAGGACCTCTCCGGGGACTCATTATGACAAGAAGTTCGAAGCGAGTTCAGCGGTGGCGACGCGGGCCTCCAGGAAACCCGAAAACGAGGGAAGAGTAGCTGCATGGCTACCTTTTCCTTTTCAGATTATCGCGAGCTCGTTCACCCAGAAATTAATTAGTTCGTCGAACCTGCGTACAACACGTAGAACAGATCTACTACCAAGTGTACGTATTCCTATGTGTAGATTCGGCTAACAGACTTGTTCTGTGGGGGACTTTCTCTAGTCGATCTCTTGCTCGAATCGCGCCCCCGCGGTGCGCGGAGCGCGCGATCTTTCATCCTCGCGCGCTCGCGGTTTTTCGCGGCGCCCCCCCCCTCGGAGAGCGGCATCATGCGTCCCCGGGTCCGGGCCGCGGCGCGGGCACCCGGAGCACGCGACTCTTAGGTCGGGCGTGTCCGCCCCTACAGGCGGATTGTGAACGAAAATTAATACATACCAAACACTTAATCCAAAATACCAGAAAAATCATCCCCAGGCGATTTTTGACTATTTTTGAATATTCCTCCTGTAGAGGGACAGGCCCGATTTACCGTACGCGCCCGCCCGTCGCTGGGGGGCCAAAGGTCTCCTCGGCGTGAGCGACAATGGCTGGCGGGGCGCACCAGGGGGTGGAGGGAGGGGGGAGGGCTTTGTAGAGGGAGGCCGCTTCTTAGAGGGCGCCAGCCCTGCATCTACAAATGAGGCCCGCGCCTTCCGAGACCCAGGGGTGCTTCTGAGAGGCCCTCCCCCCCTCCCCCACCCCCTCTGCGCATGCGTGAATGTGAGCGACGACAAGGAGAAGGTCTTGCGCAAAAAGACGCAGCGACCTTCGGCCGCGACTTGCGCGGGCCGCCAGCGGGGAAAACACCGCGTGGGGAAGAGGGCGCTGACGCGCGACCTTACGCGGGGAGCTTACGCGCAAGTGTCCGCGCAGATGAGCCCGCTGTTCTTCGTCGCTCACGTGGTGCCGCGGCCTCTTCGGTTGCATCGAACCTCAAGCGACAAAGAAAACGAGGCTACACTACGCGTTTCGCACCCTGTAGGGGCTCTTTCGGACCAAACTGCCTGCTGTGCAGCATCCAACGAGCACTGTCGACGACGGGACCGGAGGCGGAACGGAGGCGGAGGACCCCCGTGGTAAGGCTTCGGGATGCACGCAGAGAGACCCCCAGGTATAGTACGGGCCCGACCACAAGAAAACTTCCACGAGAAGCCCAACACTGAGATCCCAGGACGTCCATTGATGTTTGGTGTGGGAACGTCACGCTTTCTATAGCACAACTATCGCAACTCAAGAGAAGCCCACGGCACCCTGGAGGCAATCAGGGTGCTTCTTGGCATGGGTCTCCACTGTAGTTGGGGAAACCATCAGGTACCGATACCGCTACCCCCCAGAGCTCTCCCAGGGTGCGTTCTGATCAATATTTCGAGGCGAGTTCAACGGTGGCGACGAGGGCCTCCCAGGAGGCCCAAAAAGAGGAAAACGGCCGAAGGGTAGAGGTATGGCTACCTTTTCATCCTCTGAGTAGTCCCCGCTGGCTCCAACAGGCCCCCGAGTACCCCCATCGGGACTCCACAGGCCCCTCGAGTGGCCCAGGGACGTCTCAACGCCCCAGCCCTGTGGCGCGGAGCGCCGCCGGAGGCGGCGCTCGGGTGTTGAGACCGCCTCGGTCTAGGAGGAGGAGGAGGAGGAGGAGGAGGAGGAGGAGGAGGAGGGCCTGCTGAGGCCAGCTGGGGCTACTCGGGGGGCCTGTTCAGGCCAGCTGGGACCACCTAAGGGGGCTGCTCGTGCGCAGCCCGAGGCCTCACAAGACCCCCAGCCGCCTCCATGTGGTGCAGCAGCCGCAGCGCCTCCCAGCACTGGCCGCCCTTCTCGCACGCGCTGATCGCGGCCCCGCAGGCGGCCAAGTCCGGTCGCACCAGCTGCCTCCGCATGGCCTCAAGCGCCTCGAGCGCCTCCTCGGCCTGGCAGGAGCAATCTGCATGTGAGCGTGTTCTTATTCGGCGTTCCGACATTTGGCGGAAGGGGGAGGGAGGAGGGGTTCTGGCACCGGACCTCTGATTAGCGCGACTGTTTGCAACCGTGCGTCCGATGGGGGAGCCTCCACCTGCTCGAAACAGGCGCCCAAAACAGTCAAGACCTACTCCATGGGGGGGAGGGGGGGTGCGAAGGCCCGCGCTGGTCGGCAAAACAATGAATGAGAAAACGGCGACCACCGAATCGAGAAACCGGGTCTGATCCGATCGGAACATGCTTGGCGCGACTTAACGGGGGGCGATAAACGGGGAGGACAAGAAAGGTGCCCTTCTCGGGCCCTAAAGATCCCCCCTCTGGGGCCCGAAGGGGCCCCTTTAGGGCTATACAGGGCATCCTGTCTGCAGCTCCTCGCTGCCCGCCCATGTACCGCCCCACCCACTAGTTACAGGCCTCCCGGATGGGGTTCGAGTAAATAAAATCGGAGGATCGCGACGCATCGATGATACATCGGCGATGAATCGGCCATGCGATGGCAACGTGGGCGACACATCGGCGACGTCAGCGTGGAGAAAATTGGGCCCTTCATCGAGCCGCATCGCCGATGCATCGCCGATGCGCCGCCGATGCATCGGCGATGCGGCGCGATCCTCCGACCCCATGTGGGAGCCCTAGAGCGCCATGCATAGACGAAGGAAAAACGGTATGACCATAAACTTTTGGCGCTCCGCGCGGATTGCTTGGGTCTGCGCCAGGCCCCCCTCCCTGGCGCGCGGAGCGCGCCAGGGGCGGCGACGGAGGCGCCGCCGGGGGGCCCAGCGCGGACCTAAGAAATCCACGCGGAGCGCCAGAAGTTTATGTTCGTGCCGATGTTTCTCCTTCGAGGGGAGCCCGAACCGAATCGGATCGGGCAAGATCGAATCAAATCGAATCGGAACGAATCGAATCGAATCGAATTCGAATCGAATCGAGATCCTTCAAGGGGAGCCCGAATCGAATCGAATCGGAGCGGTTCGAGGGAACCGGGGCCCCGCCTGGCCGCCCTGCTCGTAGGCGCTCAGCACGGCCGTGTGGGAGATCACGTCCGCCCGCACAGAGGCGCTCCGCACGGCTTGGCGGCGCGCACAGGGGGGAGGGAGGGGGGGGGCGGCGTCAGTGAAGGGGCCCCAGGACACACAAAAAAATACTGGGGAATCAGGGAAGGGGGGCGTCAGGGAGGGGGGGGCGGTCTTCTGAGAATAGGGGGCAAACAAACCTACCTCGCTTTTGATCACCCTCGCTTCCAAGAGATACCAAGCGATGCCAAACTACGGCCTGTACTGGTCAGGCCGCTTGACGAGGAGGCGCGTGGTACGACTTGGTTTTGCCTGGAAGCGAAAGCGGGGTAGGTAATTCATGCTCTGAGAGAAGGCGGGCGGGGCCTGCAGGAAGAGGCTCCTCGGGTGCGGGGCAGTGACGTGATAGGGGGGGCTGGCACAGGGGGGGACGCATCGACGTGGACTCGGCGACACGTCGTCGACAGGTCGGCGACAGGCCCCCGATAGCAGCTCCCCACGTTCCTGGGAGGGATGGGGCTGTGAGACCCCTATCGGCGATGAATGTCGGGAGCGCGCAAACATGGATTCGGCACGCGGTCGCCAAATTCATGGATGTGGGGAGGTGCCATCCCCCGAATGCTGCCGGTGCCGCCTCTTTCGGCGGTGGAAATCCGCGAATCCCTATGCGAACGGGACCCGTCGCTAATCCACGCCCCCTGCATCCCTGTCTGCGATCACCTGAGAATGGGCGATTGGGGTCGATGCATCCCTGCCTGTGCTCATCCCCCCCCCCATCGCTCGGAGAAGCTCCCCAGCCCTTCCGAGGAGGCCCCTGCCCTCCGAGAAGGCCTGCGAGGCTCCCCAGATGGCTGGCCCCTTTCTGGGGGGGCTGCCTTTCATCGCAGGGCTGGACCTGAACGTTGTTTTTCGTTTCGTTGTCGTTTTGTTGTTCGTGTTGCTCCACATGTTTTCCTGTAACCTCCCTGCCAAAACGAAAAGCCACACACAGCTGAAGTCCAACAAAACAGCGCTCAGGTCCAGCCCCGCTTCATCCCGAGTCGGTCTCTGACGGTCCCAGGGGTCAGACGAGGGCCTCCAGAAGCCGAACCGTTCCATCCAAAAACGCCCTTCGTGTTCGATGGCTACTGGAACCGAGACCAAGCCGTCCTTGGCACCAGCGCCGACAACTGGAACCAGTGAGTTCGCACGCGCTCCATCTGCGAAGACGCCAGGGCTTCGTTGTGGAGGACCCCTTTTCTGGGGGGCGACCTCTCCTCCCGAGTCGGCCTCTGACGGCCCTCCAGGGTTCAGACGAGGGCCTTTGGCGGCCGCACCTTGCCCGCTAAGATCCTCAGGGCCCTCATCCTCAGGGCCCTCAGAGGCGAAGAAAAAGATGAGAAAACCTCGGAGCTCCGCGCGGACTCCTCGGATCGGCGCGGAGCTCCGAGGGTCGTGCTTCTTTTCCCCCCTCCAGGAAAGACGAACCATCTTCGCGTCGCGAGAATCGAACGCGGAGGATTTGTTGTTGGCACGGCGCGGCCTCTGAGGGCCCTCGCCGGGCCCCGGACCGTCAGAGACCGGCTCGGGGTGAAGGGCCGCCCCCCAGACCGGCTCCTGTCATCTGGGGAGCCCCTCTGCGTTTGTCTTGTGGTGCTCCCATTGTACTTAAGGACCACATCCCAGAAATCATTTCGAGCACCGGGAAAAGTGTCGAAACAAATTCGAACGAGTGTCTCCCAGGGCCCGACACGTGAAAACCCTTGAGTCTCGGTACTTTCGTGGTGCTCGAACTTCTTTCTGGTCGTTCAGGCTTAAGTAGGTTGGGACATCACACTGCTTGTGCTCTTCTGTGTTCTTTCGCCGAGCGGCCCGCGGATGCCAGGGCTCTGCAGAGGCCGCCGCCCCCTCGTGCCACCAGAGGCCCCCCCGACGGGGCCCGAGCAGATGGGGTCTGAGGACCGCGCCGCATCGCCGATGCAACAATGCATCGGCCACGTCGGCGACGCACCGGCGCCATCGGCGCGGAGAAACTCTGGCTCCACATCGAGCCGCATCGTCGGTGCGGGGCGATCCATCGACCCCTCCTGCTCGGAACCCCTCTGGGAGGCCCAGGGCCATCCACCCCCCGGTGCGCGCCGCCCGCTGGCGTCCAGCAGCCCCCTCGCGCGCCCCGCCTCGCCCGCGCGGCCGCAGGCGGCGATGGCAGAGTTGAAGGTCGCGGCGTCGGGCGCGAGGGCGAGGCCGCGGCCCAGCCCGAGCAGCCCCAGCGCCTCCTCGCGAGGATCGGCGAGACCCCCCCCCCAGGGGCACAAGCAGGCCGAGGGAACCCGGCTAAGTACCCCCTGGCGGCAGGTCGGCGGGCGCCCCTGACCGCCGCAAGAAGAAGGTGGCGCGGGGCCAAGCCGGGGTCGGGGCAAGAGCGCCGCGGCACGGGCTCGCGCGGCAGACCTTCTCCCTCCTCCCCCTCCTCTCCCTCCTCCCCCTCCTTCTCCCCCTCCTCCCCTCCTCCACCCTCCTCCTCCTCCTCCCCTCCTCCCTCCTCCCTCCTCCTCCTCCCCTCCTCCCCTCCTCCTCCTCCTCCCTCCTCCTCCCTCCTGCTCCTCCCTCCTCCTCCTCCTCCTCCTCCTCCTCCTCCTCCTCCTCCTCCTCCTCCTCCTCCTCCTCCTCCTCCTCACCCCCTCCCACTCCCCCTCCTCCTCCTCCTCCTCCTTTTCCTCCCTCCTCCCTCGCGCGCTCTCTCGTGCCCGCGCTTGAGGGCAGCCCGTGCAGGGTGTTCGGAACGGAGGCCAGGCCCTCGTGCTCCAGCGCCGGCCCAGTCCCTCCCTCCCGCCACACAGCCGACGCTCCAGAAAAGCGGGAACGGCGGGATTTGGGCAACTTTCGGCCTCGGGGGGCCCTCGCCGGGCCTCGGGAGCGTCAACAAAAACGACTTGGGAGGGATAACCGGTCCCGAGAAAGTGGTCCGCACCTCTGGGGCCCACGCATCGAAAAAATTGAAGCGGGCGGACGTCTGGGTCGGCGGCGAGCCCAGGGGGGAAGTGTGAAGGGGCGGGCCTTCTCAAAGGCTCGGAAGTCCCCGCCGCCTTCGGAGAAGTTTCCTCAGCCTTCCCCAAAGGCCCAGAAAACCTCTCGGAGGGCTGGTGGGCTTCTGAGAAGTCCCGCCGCATTCTAAGAAGGCCTTTTCCTTCTCACTTCCCCGCCTCGCTCACCGCCGAAAGTAAGTAAAAACATCTAGGAAGGCTGTTATCAAGTAGACTGGGCTCAGGCCCTCCCATAGAATAGCAAACCACATAAGAAACACATCGATTCTGGAAGCAGGAGGGTGCCTGAAGCAACTTGGGGCCTGGGAAAACAAGAACTGCCTACTTTCACCGACCGTCGTGCAGCTTCATCCTGGAAGAAAACAGCCCCCCACTACTGAGGGGTAGGGGGGGATAGGCAGAGGGGGGATGCATCGACCTGGAGTCGGCGATACATCGTCGATAGATCGGCGATAGGGCCCCGATAGTGAATACGCACATTCCTGGGCGGGGTGGGGCTATCGGGCTCGTATCGGCGATCAATGGGCGATTGGGAATCGATGCGTCCCCCCTTATGCCTATTTACTCCTGTTGTTGCCCCCCATTACGCGACGCCCCAAAAAGCAGTCTGGCGCGAGCTGTGGGGGGGAGGCACTCCGCGGGGTGCGCGCGGCACCGCGTTCCGAGTGCACCCACAAGCGGAGCCGCTGGTCG